CGCTCACTATCAGATCAAATTAGAACAAGATACTGGCTTCGCGAATGGAGTCCCACTGCAACTTCTACAGGCATTTCCAAATGGGTCCTGGAAGTTCTAATGATTCAAACAGTTGACAGAATCATTAACAGAAACCACGTCAGAAAATTCGTATGTCTGGATAGGTTTTTTGACTGTTTTATACATTCAAAGGTTTTAAGAAATTATTGAATGACAAAAGCAGGTAGTCGCCTCACTGAAATTGACAACAGGACGACGTGTGACAAGTGGTGAAGGCAATCACGCATCACGAATAAAACATGATTGGTCCGAACCAGGCACGCCCCAATGTGTGCTGACATACCACTGTCTGAGTCAGGTCATTTAGCTCATCAACGCCAGTAGGCACAACCAAACCGTGGTCCTCGTGGTTTCATACTCTGTGTATTCATAAATAAGGAGAAGATATACTCTGGGGGAGGATATTACGCAGTCAGGCACTGGCACCGATGGCTCAGAAGCTGGCGCTGGTCACAACAACGCCTAGATGCGGGCGCGACCGGTGGACCAGACATCGACTCGAACACTCGACAATTAGACTCGCCTGTTAAGCAGATCAAACTGTCGTTCGACGTCATTGATGACGTAAGGACTGCGCAACTGGATGTATTCGGCGGCTTTGCGTAACGGAAAGCCGTGCGAGTAGAAACTGATGAAGCAGTCGCACAGCGGCCACTCTGACGCCTGACGGTTAACGATCGTATCCTCATCGAACAGCACCATCTCCAGCTTGTCGCCATAGTACTCGATCAGTCGCGACAAGATCTCCCTCATGGGCTTGCCATTAACCTTCTTGCGCATCGCGCATATGCCAACCACTATCTTGCGCTTCGTAAGTGCCACCATGTCGCGAGCATCTAAACCAAACCATGTTGAACGACGGATCGAAAGCAATCTGATTAATCTTAGCAAGTTGGAGGAGCATACCTTGGAAATCGGCCATTGCACGGTGGTCGCCGGATGAGTTTGCTTGATAAGCGATACGACGAAACATGCAAGAACCGCTTCCTGAAACGCTACATGCTTCTACACGGATGCGGTGCGTCAGAGATTCGGCAATGTGCCATGCTGAACTGGAAGCTAGTGTTGAATGAACTCATGGGCTCGTTGTGAGGCGATCAAAGCCTGTAACGATTTTCTTCTTGCTAAAGGTAATCGGTCATCAAACTGTCACAGGAAACGGTCATCAAACCGCTCGCGGACTTCACGCGATCGCGCCCAAACGCCGAAACAACCAATGTATTTCGTCGTCAGTACAGCAATAACACACAATACTACAAGGAGTTTCGGCTTTTCAGAGGGGGCAGTGAAGCTATCGGTTAGTGGGCTGCTCCGCACGTTAGATTACTGGTTCAAACGTAACGTATCGCGTTAAATTTCTCTTATTAACTGCGAATTTCCTTGAGTAAGAAGTTCACCCGACAATGATTCCGTGTAACCAGCCTAAAAGCGGGTGGCATGTCGCTGACCTGCAAATGATACGTTATGTTCGTTATGTTTGGTGTGGTCATGACAATGCGTGCGAGACATACGGCCATGTTGTCCGACCGGGCGTCTCGCGGCTGCAATTCGCCTTAACCGATTTGACAGATGACCAAAAATCAGCACAACGTGTACACGCAAATTTAAAAAATTTTTAATTCCCGTCATTCTTCGACCACTGACTAAGCGATTTCGCAACGGTATTTGGAGTACTAGTTGCGGAGTACAACTTTCAATGATAATCAACCAATATTTAAATGTCAATTAATATCGCAATTCTAAAACCTATATTAAGAGGACAGGTTACAGGTTCCATAATGAGCTGTTTCATCGAGATCGAATCACGACTGCGATTTGTTCATGCAGTGAGGATATCACAGGAGAAATTCACAAGCTTGCTCTCTTGACAAAACCACATGAAAGATATACCAGAAGTAAAGTACGAACGAGATAGCTATTTATACAGAAGAGCCGTAGTTTTTCCTTGGAATCCACATCATCGAGGAAATGATGGCTGTTCGTTAATTAATTAATGGATGAATGAAAGAAATGAATAAAAGAGATGACGTACTTCTCATTCAATCACGTTTCAACTTATGGATGAATACGGACAGGATCACCAACTCATCCATTCAGGATTTAAGGAAGCTTATGATTTTCCAGAACAAACTTGCCTTACGATGCGCAAATTGTTTTGTTAGTATCTCACTATAACTGTGTATCTAACTAACATTTATAAGTTCGTGACATGCCGCCAGGCATTCGCTGGTGTTGCAGAGAAACACTTTCATATTTTACCATATGACTGGGTACTTTAGTCTATGTCTTCCTTTCAAGACTTGCCCCAGAAGGTCAGTTTAGAGCACATCTGCGACAACGAACGAAATAACAACGCGATAGACACAGACACACATGATAGACATCGTGCCCAGGTGGGAAGCGTGGCATGTGGGGTGCAAAGATTTTGGAGGACTTGCGGTGAACACCATATTTTCTATTCGACCGCATTACAGATGATGTTTACTACGATCTTCTTTAAGTATAAAACGAGCTTCACATAGCATGAGTATTTTCTTCGTATGAGTTTTAAGGGCAGCACTACAGTTCTAGACTTAAACTATTAAACCGTTTTATGGAATTTTCCAAGAGCTTGTATGCTTCAAGACGAATGAGTTAGAGCACAATCGTGAATTAAGAAATCGTCTACAGACCACAGAACGAAAAGTAAATATAAATTCTGCCACGGTTGCCAAAAGGCTTAAGGTAAATTGAGCAATTGCCTCAACCATTTAAATATTCTTCCTCTGCCCTTTGAAGGATAAAAATCTGAACTCTGCAGGCAGCATACACGATAAAACTTAAGACACGAGCCTGTCTGAAACGCCACCGTCGCCGAATGAACTGATCGAAATTAAGAACAAAGGCGTCTCCCAATGTTGCATTCGCAGCATATTATCATCATCTCTAGCCTTTAACCCTACTAAACATTGATGTCTTTCAGCACAGCGTATATAACAGTTAACTTTACAACGATCAACTAAACAGCGTAACAAAAGAAACTAGCGATTCTTTGAGCAATTCTACAAGGGTATAGAGCCCCACATTGGCCTTTCTAACAACATCCTCGCAGAAAGTCATAAGATATATGAAAAAAACAACTGACACAGAAGCTATACCAAGTCTTCAAGACAAAAGGCCTTCCATTGCGATGACGAAACGCATAAAAACAATACGATCGCAATTTTACTTTACGCCTAAGTTCCGGACCATACCACAGTATTCACCATCAGGGCATGTTCAAAGAAACGATTTCGCGCATTGACAATGGAATTGTAGTGTAGTGTGCAATGTCGAATTTTGTCGCCTTACCTTAGTGGGTATAACCAACGTATGGGGAGATATTCTGCCTTTAAGACTACTTATTTCAAACAAAGCAACATACCGATGTCAACTTCAGAAAAAAATAATAGGCCAGGGTAGTTTAGTCAAAAGAGCGTCTGACTCAGAACCGAGAAATACCATGTTCGAGTCCCTCTCGAGTCAATCACCTTTCTTTCATCCACGGTTGATAAATGACTACGAAAACGTAGGAAGGAAATGGATTACATACTATGCATGCCATACTCTGGTATGTGCTGGCGACTGTGCCTTTATATAAGCCACTCTTGACTCATAGCACGGAAATGGAGATCAGCCCCACCCCTCCCCCTCCCCATTAACTATATGAAAATGACGCCTGATACTGGCCTTGTAGAGAAGCGTAAGAAAGTCCTACATTAAAAGCTATACTCTTTCGATGTTTCACAAGGAATTCACATAGAGCTCACTCGGCAGAAACTGGAGATGGTAAGTCACAAATTCTGCTGCCAGAATACAATTCAAAAATCCACTGTTCTGATGCTGGCGAAACATGAAGAGTTACCGACTGATTTGCTCGTTTTGGTAAAGATACTGAGTGCACACCAATCTCATCGAGCCACGATGCCAAATAGTGCACAATAATGATAATCCAGCATCGGCTCTTTTGTCTCGAAGAGGAAAGTCGACAACGGCTAGCAGCCACAAGTTGAATCAACCATTATTTTGAAAAAGTCCGCGAAATATGAACAAAAGTTTTGGTGCCGGTAGGAAACTCGAATAACAGTCTTTGTGATAAGGGCCAAAAACACTGCGCTTTACTTAACTTTAAATTTTTGTTACTTCAGACAGGACAGAAATCGATAATCGGGACAATCAGATTTGGTAAAGGTTTGGAATATCGTGACAGTAACGACAATGTATACCATTTTCGTAACGTTCACACAGCGCAGCAACAGCATTAGCATCGGACGTTCTTAATGACAAATAAGGTCAAATTACGACCCAGCTTACATAAATACCCTCTGTTAAAAATTTTGGCTCTAACTTTAATATTAAAACGTGAACTCTTGCTCGTGTATTATCACACTAAAAATGTGAGCATAATTAAACTTGTAATGCAAAAGCAAAAGGATTTCGGATACTGTCGTTTGATCTGCAAGTGTAAATGCAAGTGCAGCTGTAAATCAAAACAATCTGATCACGAGAATCTGAAGCCTAGAGTATTGCTCTTTACAAACGACTTTGTTTTGTTGTCATCTTCTAATGCTCACCGCTCTCTGGTAAGTTCCACAGCCGAGTGCAACGTAACCAGATGCGTGTGAACGAGTCTGAAACTGAAAACATTGTGCTTTCTGTCCGGTTTGTTGCACTCTAAGAACTGTGTATTAAGAAGTAAAATAGGAAGAGAAATTCTCATTTTTGCAGTGGAATTTACCGTGCTGGATAATTGGAGCAGGTAAGCGTCCTTCGAATTCGAATGACCAGTTGCGTTCTGCCTAGACTAGCTAGAGCGGTTGTGATTAAGGCACTACTGAGACCAAAACTAATAAACTCTATGTTCAACTCGACCTTGGTTCTCATTGTCATATATGGTAGTGATTTGTGGGAAGGAACTAAACACCTTTGCCCTTGGGTACATTCGGCTAAAACAGGCTGGCTGAGATGAATTGTTAGGCTAGCGCGCCTTGATTTCAAAAATTCAAGATGGTCTTGTTCCTCAGTTTCTGCTTTACCAAATTAAGACGCTCGACGGATTAGGATATTTGAGAACAATTCCGGAATAGAAGGCGAAACCGCTTATCGTTGCCAAATCGATCTGCTGAACACTCAGAGGATGGCCAAGAAAAAATTGGGGAAATGCTTCGAAGGACCTTGCTTCAGACTCTGGTCATCTTCTTCCGAGCCTCAAGCACTGGCGCAGGATGGAGAACGTTGACGCGTCTGTCTCAGCTGTCCGAAATGATAAACGGTTATCAAAATTTATCAGTTCAGCCAAAGCGAATTTAAGCCAACGGGTGCACGCATCTGACAAACATTTCTCGACAACTTTCACATGGCTTGTAACGCCACAGAAAGAAACTTTGATTTAACGGATTTATCCTAGGCTTTGCCTCGACGTTTCGAACTGTATTTTAGTGCTCTTCTTCAGCTGAATTCTTACTAGTCCTCGTGGACGTTATCATGGTTTATTGCGACTCAGAACAATATCCATGAAAATTTGCACAGACCCTCCTGAGAAATGATAGAAACTGTAAACTCGAAACGATTAAGAGAAGTTTTCCATCGTCCTGTTTACTGTGTTTTCCTCGCACTTTGCGCGTCCTCACTTAACTAGAATTTTCATTAGCGTTAATAAACCTTTCCGGTGGGCAATGTTATCTAGACATGAAACGGTCTTCATATTACTTCTCAGGAGAATCTCTGGCGGAGCTCATGTAATTATGGCTCACAATTCTTACTGCTGCCTGAAAGATGTACTGAAGGTTAACTATTACAGATTCATGCATTTTTGTATAGCCCCTTTCTCTTCATTTCAGTGATACATTGTATGTTGCTTCTGCATGCTTTATTATTATCTCAATGTTTTAAGCTGTTTAAAAGCATGTGTCCACTGTCAACTATGGCGATAAACTTGACCTGAATTGCAAATGA